GTCTGCTGCTGTGGGGACAAAGGACTTGGAACCCCTTGCTGGGCATTGCACTTGGTTTGTCTGTCTCAGAGCATGGAAACCTAGAAATACGTAGGAGCCCTACTATGGATATAGAAGAAGTGATTCAACCCAAATGTTTCAAATAAAATATATCATAAGCAGCATATCAACTTTTGGAGGGCAGAATGCTGTCTCATCACAAAGTTTCCCAACCAACTCTACTCCTGGCTCCCAACCAGGTGTCTGAAACATGTGTACAAATCCTCTGGTGCCTCTGTTTGTTCAATGCTCCTGGGAATAGCTGCTTGAAAGCTGATTGGACTAGACATTGATAAATAATCTTCCACAGCACAGAGGGTACCAACACAAACCATCTACAGACTATTTCAGGACATGGTCTCAGAATTAAAGATATGGACTTTAAAATGTCCCCTGAAGGCAGAGCACCATGTATATAGATTTATAAATAGAGTGAAAGAAAGAGAGAGAGAGACAGAGATCCGTATGCATACATGCCTGCATACATATTTGGGCAGAAAGATAGAAACAGAGAACAGATTCATGAATGAATGAACAAACTCTGGCTTTGGAAGAGGAAAGACATCCCAGAAGGGAGGAATCCACACAGAACAGCTCAGTAAGTTTGCTGCTGACTTTTAGTGTTACATCCCTTTTGTAATCCCATAGTAATTCCTTCTGGCAGGGCTAATTTATCAAGATATTATAGTTTCAGAAGCAAGCTAGACAGTTTATAGAATCATAGAAAATTAGTGTTGGAAGGTACCTCAGGAGGTCATCTCTTCCAACCCCCGCTCAAAGCATTACTATCCCCAACTACATCATTGCAACCATGGGGCTTAAAAACATCCAAGGATGGAGATTCCATCATCTCTACAGGTAGCCTGTTCCAGTGCTTTACAACCCTCCTAGTGACAGAGTTTTTCCTTATATCCAACCAAAACTCCCTTGCTGTGAGACCATTGCTCCTTGTTTTGTCATCTGTCACCACTGAAAACAATCTAGCTCCATCCTTTTTGTAACCACTCTTCAGGTAGTTAAAGGCTGCTATCAGATTCCCTCTCAATCTTCCCTTCTGCAAACTAAACAAGCCCAGTTCCTTCAGACTCTCCTCAGAAGTCATGCTCCAACCCCCAAATCATTTTCAGTGCCCTCAGATGGACTCTTTCCAACTTGTTGGCATCCTTTCTATATTGGTGGGCCCAAAACTGGACACAGGACTCCAGGTATTGCTTCACCACTGCAGAATAGAGTGGAATAATTGCTCTCCTCAATCTGCTGCCAACAGTCCTCTAATGCAGCCCACTATTCTGTTAGTGTTTTTGGCAACAAGGGGACATTCTTGGCTCATATTTAGCTTATTTTTCTCTGTAACCCTCAGTTCCTTTTCTGCAGAGCAACTGCTTAGCTAGTCAATCCCCAGGCTATCCTGAGGCTGTAGCAGTACATGAGATTTTTTCTGTCCTAAGTTCAGGACTTTGCACCTGTCCTTCTTGAACCTCATGAGATTTCTTTTGGTCCAATCCTCCAATTTGTCTAAGCAACTCTGAACCCTTGTCCTACCCTCTAGTGTATCTACTACACCCCCCAGCTTGTTGTCATCAGTGAACCTGCTGAGGGCACAATCCATCCCCTCAACCAGATCATTAATAAAGGTATTGAAGAGAATCAGCCCCAGGACTGACTCATGGGGCACTCCACTTGATACTGGCTGCCAACTAGACAGTGAGTCATTGAATGGTATTGACCCATTAAGCCTGATGATCCAGCCAGCTTTCTGTCCATCTTACAGTCCATTCATCCAATCCATACTTCTTCAGCTTGCTTGCCAGCATGCTGTAGGAGATGGTATCAAAAGCCTTGATAAAGTCAAGGTATATTACATCAACTGCTTCCCCCAAATACACAAAGCCAGTTATTTCATCATAAAAGGCAGTCAGGTTGGTCAGGCATAACGTGCCCATGGTGAAGCCATGCTGACTGTTCCTAATCACCTTCTCCTCCACCAAACGCTTAGAAATAGATTCCTTGAGGACCTGCTGTATGATTTTTCTGGGGACTGAGGAGAGGCTGACTGGTCTGTAGTTCCTTGGTTCTTCCTTCTTCACTTTCTTAAAGATGGGCACTATATTTGCCCTTTCTCAATCATCCAGGCCTCCCTTGATTGCCACAAGTTTTCAAAGATAATGGCCAGCAGCTCTGTAAGCATATCAGCCCACTTCCTCAGTACCCTCAGGTGCATCCCATCCTGCCCCATGGACTTGTACACATCTTTTCTAAATAGTCCCTAACCTGTTCTTTCACCACTGAGGGCTGCTTACCTTCTCCCCAAATTTTGCTGTCCAGTGCAGAAGTCTGGGAGCTGACTTTTCCTGTGAAGTGAGGAAAAGAAGGCATTGAGCACTTCAGCCATTTTCTCCTCTGTCACTAGGTTGCCTCCCCCATTCAGTAAGAGACCCACACTTTTCCTGACCTTTCCCTCGCCACCAGCATACTTGTAGAAACACTTCTTGTTACCCTACAGAGCCCTTGCTAGCTGCAACTCTGATTGCACATTGCCTTTCCTGACTTCATTCCCTCATGCCCTTATACTCCTTCCTAGTTGTTTGTTCAAGCTTCCATTTCTTGTAATCTCCCTTTTTATGTTTAAGCTCCTGCATATTTCCCATTATTAATGCACATCAGAATAGTTTGTTCCTGCACTCTCAGTAAGGTTTCTTTAAAATACAGCCAGCTCTCCTGGACTCCTTTCCCCCTCAGACTGGCCTCACACAGGATCCTGGTGACCTCACTAGGTCCCTTCCAGTCCTACTTTCTTATGAACCTTTGATCTTAAGGTTGATTTAAGAACCAATAATTCAAAGACAGTATGTATTCTTTCCAGGTTTTTGTTGTCTGCTGAATTTTCAGCAGTGAAAATTGAGGGCTTATCTACTGTGACAGTCTGAAACATTTTGAATCTAGATTAACTTTTCAAGTGTTTTAGTTGAACTTCTTTAATCTCTTATGTGGACACTTTCCCTTTGGCTTGCCTCCCATCTCAAGTGGGTTGATCCAAAATAAACTAAGGCGACTTCAGTTCAGACTACAGGAGTTCTGACTTGGCTTCAAAACAACTGGACTCACCAACTGCTGAAGGTTCCTTAGCCTGACAAAGGGTTTTTGAACCCGAAAGCTTGCTTAATAACTATTCTCCAACCATTTGGGTTGGTCTAATAAAATATATCAAATTCACCCAAGGAACCTTGTCTGCCTATGGACTCATCTTCTGGCACTTTACCACTTTGCTGGATAAGAAACCTTTTGCTTTGAGGGTCTCTATGCAGAGAACCCATGAAGTTCAGAAGTATACAGGAGAATTCCTACAATGTTTGTAAGTGCTAGTAAGCTGAGTTACAGGGTTTGTGGGTCCAGGTCAATATGCTGAATGACAGAAGGGCTTCAGGAATAAATTAAGCCATGCCAAATAAAGCAAATGAAGAAAAAAAAGGTAGAGATATAAAAGGATCAAGGAAAATATGGCGGGGGTGGGGACTGTGAATAACATATATTATCTGACTATCTTTCTGTCTTTTGCCTATGACTGCATAATGGAAAATAAGGGTTGGAAGGGACCTCAGCAGGTCTCATCCCTGCTCAAAGCAGCACCATCTAGAACCGAGGTCATTCCAGCCAAGGATTTCTCTACCCTGGTCATAAAAACCTCTAAGAAGGGAGATTCTACAACCTGTCTGCATAGCCTGTTCCAGTGCTTTAAGACCCTCCTAGTGAAAAAAAGTTTTATCTAAAATATAACTTAAGCTCCCCTCACTGCAACATTAATGTAGTAATCGATATACTTAATCTGAACTAATGAAGTTCAGTTTCCTTGCTCATTATCCCTTGATCTGGAATGCATTTTTTAGGGGCTCCGATGCAAGGTAGTCCTGAGGTGGTGCAGGGTAGTGGATACCATCAGAAAAAGGGGCAGAACATTGAGAGATAAATAAAAGGCATAGAAAAGTATCCCGAAAGTGGTAGGCATCCGATGGAGGGACCTAACTTAGAACAGTGAAAAAGGGAAATTAAAGGAAACTTCAGTGGGGCAGGGAGGGAGAGGGAAAGAAAATTTGTTTAATTTTTTTCTATGACCACTTAAGAATGTTTATTTAACATAGATATATGCTGATGGCTAGAAAATGGTATTTTCATATATCAGCTTGTCTGTTTGCCAGTCTCTTTTTTCAGAATAGGAATGACATAGGTCAACAGGAAATGGTGTTGATAAAACAGACTACATCACAATCTGATCTAAGGTGCTTCACTTTACTTTTTGTGAAATGAGGAGACTGTTATTCCTTTCTCGCTAGACACCTATCTCCTGTCCTTCAAAACCAATAGTCCCGATGCTCCTTGAATGTCCATGAGTGTAAATGCTTATGTGTCAGAGTGCTCAAATAATCCGCCCCGGCCCTGTGTTATTTGGGGTGTGGGGAGGTGCTCACTAACCAGAATGTGTTTATTTTACCCTTTTCTTACTTCCTGCAGGTAGCCAAGAGTAACTTGGTGGGGTGATGGCACACCAAGTCCTCCTGATGGAAACCAGCAGAAGCTTAATGCAGCCAACAGAATAACATCAGGAAAGACTGCCTGTAGGAGATTCAGTGGATTTTTTTCAGGTGGACATTTTTATAAAGAATCTAACCGTGAGATTTTGTATCTGTCATTCCATCTACAGGCAGCCCACAATGGTGCAAGGAAGAAAATGTCCAACCAAAGCTCTGTGTCTGAGTTCATCCTCCTTAGATTGTCTGATGTTTGGGAGTTGCACATTTTGTGTTTTTTCATGTTCCTAGCCATTTATCTCACAGCCCTGATGGGGAACCTTCTCATTATCATTGCTGTAGTCCTTGACCAAAGTCTCCACAATCCCATGCACTTCTTCCTCATGAACCTGTCCATCACGGACATTGGAACCATTTCTGTCATCATCCCTTAAAATCATGGTCAACTCTCTGCTGAACATCAGAACAATCTCTTATGCTGGGTGTACTGCTCAAGTTTTTGTCTTTATCTTCTTTGTGGGAGCAGATTTTTCTCTTCTCACTGTCATGGCGTATGACCGCTACATTGCCATCTGTAAGCCATTGCACTATGAGTTGGTCATGAACAGAAGAACATGTGTCCAGATGGCATCCAGTGCCTGGGTAGCAGGGATACTCAACTCTATCATGCACACTTGGAACATGTTTGCATTCACCTTCTGTGGGGGCAATGTGGTGGACTTGTTCTTCTGTGAAATCCCCCAACTCCTCAAGCTCTCCTGCATGGACACATTTTTTAGGGAAGTCTGCCTGATACTATTCGCTGTCTGCTTATTGTTGTGCAGTTTTATTTTCATTGTTGTGTCCTACATTAAGATCTTCAGTGCAGTGCTGAGAATCCCCTCAGATCAGGGTCGCCATAAAGCCTTCTCCACCTGCATCCCTCATCTCACTGTTGTCTCCTTGCTTGTCTTTTCTGTCACTTTTGCATACTTCAAACCTACCTCCAACACCCCATCAGGGCTGGATCTCATAGTGGCTGTCATATATTCAGTAGTACCTCCCACAATGAATCCCATCATCTATAGCATGAGAAACAAAGAGATTCTTGCTGCTCTGAGGAAACTGGCTCACTGTCTGTTCTTCACTGACTTCCAGGTGCCCATCTTTCTCAAGTGAACTTGCTGTCCATCTGTGCATCCTGGGCAGTGTCAAGTATGTCTTTGAGAAATAGCAACAACACAAGTGAGTTAAATTCTTCTTAGGATGGTTTCATGACCAATGGAAACCAAAGCTCTGTCTTTTCTTCAGGCTGGTAATATAGAAGTGGCACCACTGCAAAAAACCAGTGTGAACTGCCTTGTAAGACTGATATATGTGAGAGAAGGACTAAATCTAAACATTTAGAGCTAGATCCTCACCAAATGATCATGACTCCAATGAGTTGGATGGAATCTGACTGATTGATGCTGTGGGAGGATGTACTTAGTGACTTTAGTAGAACTGCCTCCATTTCCACCAGGGGAATCATGTCTCCCAATTTAAATATGACATGGATCTTACATATGTGTATTTGTCTCTCTTATACTTCTCCACTACTATCTAAGATGAAGTCTAGTTTAGACTTGGCAGATATGCACAGAGAACAGATTTTGATATCAAAACAGTGTGTGTAAACATGCTTCCCACCCTTTGAGGATTCTGCATGATTATGTGGTTTGAATCTTGCTGTTTCATTGTAAATTTCCCATTATCACACATGTGCAAGTGACATTACATATGGCATCCTTTGCTGTGTTTTCATGCTTAAACAATACAAGAGAAGATGTGTTTCCTGTCCTTGGCATCAAGCCTACCTGTGACTTTGTATGTGCGGAATTTTCTCTTGGCTTGGTTACTGATGTTGTGTCTGACATATATGCAAGAACATGGGTATTGCATTGATTTAGCTCTTGAAAGTTATTTGCAGTTGATCAGCGTCAGTACCTGGGGCTGGTAAAGGGCAGGGAGGGAAGAATCATGCAAACCACAAGGCAGCAGTGAGGAGGTCAAGAGAGTGTTTCCCTCTGCCTGCTTTCTGCATTGAAGCAGCATTATTACTTCTGTGGCTGCTGCTGAAGCAGTTCTGTGGTGTATACTGCTTCTCATTCCCATCCTTTAATACATAAGATAATGAGTGCAGGGCTGAGAAAGCACTAGCAAAGATCCCCTGGTGAGGTGGCAGTCTTGTCCCCTTCCCCACTGATATGCAATGGTGTGTGGTTCCCTGGTTAATGAAGCCTCTCCTGTGTTCAGCTCCAATAGTTGGACAGGGCAGGGCTATTCCTGCCATGGGAAAGTTCCCAGGGTGACTTGATTTTGGTACCAAAGACTGGTGCCCTGCTTGCCCTTACTGAGTCATGTTACTTTATGTATCGTTTAACTTTCCCTATCTCTTTCCCCATCTGCCACACAGACATTTCAAACAGGGTAGACTTTTGAAAAATAACCAGTAGGACAGATTTTTAAAGGCCCAGACTTCCAGAAAAGTTTTCATTCTGAGCTCCCATGGTTTGAAACGTTTAGCCAGGCAAGCTGCTTAAGACACCCAGGGTAAAGTGAGCACTCACTTATATCATAAAAATAGCATTCACCATTTGCAAAAGCCAATACATTCTGATATTAGAGGCATTTTTCCAGCTGATAGAAAGGTGCCTTCTAATTCATATGGTAACAGTTAACCTTCATCTGTCTGCACTTCAGCACTGTCCCCTGCCTTGTTATTGGGTGTCTTCACATTGCCTCTCTCTAGATGTTAGGACCTCATTAGGGCCAATTGCAGTGCCTTGAAACTGAAGGGACAAAGTCAGTTTCCACGGCACCAAATATCTGGGACCAGTACCAGAAGTTGTCACTTTGCCCTAGTACTTGTAAATTGTATTACCTAGAGCACAGAGGTGGGACTGACACACAGTGCCTTGACCCAAATATTAGCCATGGAACTATCAAATGCTCTCTTGAGTAGGGACCAGCAACATGTGTTTTAACTGATCAATGAACCGTCTTCATCTCCTGGCTTGTGAAACATTTGTGGGCACTTCTGAAAGTTCATTCTGACTAGTGGCCAGGCTGGCCACACAGAAACCAGATTGAGTTTGTCACCACCATTATGATGCCAGCTGTATCTGCCATTTCAAAGCCCTAGATCTACTGCTAGGAATCAGTAACCTGTCCCAAGAATATGAACTCCAATCTTGACTCGACCATTCATCTTGCAAAAAAGGGAGAAATAATTCTTTATAAAACCATGGAATTAA